TTTTACACTTACACAAATTTATTTAGAAAATAATGTGTTTGGGCCCACAGGTGTGTCAGGAGCTTTTGAAGGCGACCTGGGAGAGTTGGTCCCCTATGTACAACTCCCTATGTACAACTTCCTGTAAAAAAAAAAACTTTATTATTTTTTTTTTTTTATTCTGCCCTCAAATTTCATAAACAGATAAATGCTGTAGTTAAATCTAGTTTTTTTTTTTTCAATTAAGATTGTCTAAGGCTAAGAGTTTCTTAACATTTGCAGAGTTTGAGAGAGTGATTCATGCGTTCATTTCATCTAGACTTGACTATTGTAATTCTCTTTATATTAACTGTATTGAATTTTCGTCATTTTCAGATGGTTTAAAATGCATTTGCCAGACGTTTGACTTGAATTTGATTATATTTCCCCAATATACACTCTTTAAAAAAAGTTTCAAAATTTTGTTTTTTGTTTTTAAAGCTCTGAATGGATTAGCTCCAAAATATCTTTCTGATCTTTTGAATTTAAATCATTAAGGTCATCTCAACAAAAGTTGCTGATGGTTCTGAGATCTAGACTTTAGTCAAGTGGTGGCCGAGCTTTTTCTATCGTTGGTCCAAAATTATGGAATAGTCTCCCTTTATCCATAAGATTAATCTCCACAGAGTCTGAATTTAAATCTAAGTTAAAAACGTACCTTTCTCTCAGGCTTACAACTGTTTTTGATTTTAAAGTTGAATTTTCTGATTGGTGTTTTTGATGTAAACTCCCTATATCATTGCTTTGCGTTTTTTAATTCTCTTTTGTCTCCTTTTTAGATATTTATCCTTTGCCTTTTTGTACAGCACAATGGTCAACTACTGTTGTTTTTATTTTTGCTATATAAATAAAATTTGATTTGATTCAATTAATGAGACCAGACTGCCCATTAAATTTACTCCAAACAAATTATATCTCATGTTTAACCACTATAGAGACATCAGAGCCAACAGTATCGTGGGCAGTCTTTTTTTTTTTTTTAGGATTGTGGCGGTTTCATGTTTTTTTTCCCCCCTGACTGTGCCTTTATATGAATCAGAATAAATGAAAAAGCTGCAGAACCACTGCATTTTAATCAGTATCCAAACAAAGATGCTATCTGAGTAGTTTTAGATTTAAATTATATTGTACAGTATAATTTCACAATTCAAAGCAAAAACAGAATGGGCTGACTTTAGCTTTGTGAAACTATACTACATAAAAACATATCTGCACAAAACAAAAACAGCAGATGGCTGAATGAGAATGCAAATTCACTCACTGACAGCAGGTGGCGCTCATGGAACAGTAGCAAATCGTTTTTCTTTGGTTACCGCTGTAAACAAAGCAGCGCTGCACTTATGAAACTACTTTAACATGCATTACACAGAGGTAAGATACAAAGAAAATACAATCTAAACTTTTCCGACAACAATTCGCCTCAGAGATACATTCATATAAACCCCCACTCCCAGACTAGTATTTAGAATTTTCATCTGATGTTTTGCACTGTAAACAGTGAGCTTGCTCTTTGTTACAGTATTTTTTTCTCTTTGCGTTGCAACCTCTGCCAGGTAGGTATGAGACATCATCCTCATTATTCGTTCATCGTTAATCTTTTGTTTTTATTCAGCCATTATTTTGGCATTACATGGCTTACCCACATCATTTTGATCCCAGTATACATTTACCTATAGAGATATGCATTTACCCACCTAGTGGGAGTTCATCATCCGAAGAGGCAGGGTGGGTTATGAACACGTAAGATAACTGACATATGAGCAGTGGATGAGTCATAACAGCGATTGCGGAAGAGAAAACAGACAGACAGTGCTAGAAGCAACTAATGCTCATCAGATTGCATTATTCATTGGAAAATTAATAGAAATTATGATTCCGTTTAAAGAAATATGAAGTAAATGTAAATATATCAATATTTCTCCAAGTATACACTCTTACTGATGCTGTTAAGTGAAACTATGCAAACTCAAATAAACCGCAGCAGACGTGACTGAATATGAATGAATATGAATTCTATTCAAAATATCATACATTACTGATTGATTATTTTGCACTCTAAATAAATTAAGAAATTATAATCACTGCAATCAAGTTTTATCATAACAGTGGTCAAATATCAAAGTTGGAGTCTTTAATCTTTCTAATGATACACTGTTTGTCCAGATCAAGTAGGAGTGTGATGTTTTAATGTCCTGTGGATGTGAAACAATAATAATTTGAAGTCGCCAGCAATCTTTGCAGGTTAATTTAACAGTTAACTCTCAATTCACTATGCTGTCTGCATTGCTTAGGCACTTGTATCAGTATGCAAGTTTTTTTTTTTTTATTCATACCGTTCAGCGCCGATAGCCTCGTGGTCGACAGCTTTTTACTCACCAAGACAGGTATTTCGACATAATTTTGTATGTATTTGTCAGTTCAAGATCATGAGCAGGCAAAACTCAATTCGGTGTTCAAGGGCTGTGAGACGCAGCTCCCTGTGTGCACGCTGTGTGCACAGAACACAGAGCGTGGGTGCTGAGGCTTTTCACATCCTGAGCATCTTTTTAGGCTGGCCTCGGGCAGTCTGTTTTAAAATCGCTGGGGGCCCCCCACAGACGTGGGCCCCTATAATTGTCATCACCTTTCACCCCACTAGCGACGGCCCTGGCAACATTGTTGGTTCATAGATCGTCCGTTCTTCTGCTCTTTCCTGTTATGAGTGTTAACGTTGCATTGCCACGCATGCTTCTGGATTGATCGCCTATGACTGACTGTATTTGTCGTCTGACTGCATGAACCGAATACATATACAAGGGCATGGACGAATCCATGGATGAATCCTAGTACAAAACTAGAATTTTACTCTTTTAAAAAGGATCTAGTATGTACAGTTTAGATACTAATATGGACTCTTAAAGTACTGAAATGTACCTTTAACATACTAATATGTATCATTTTAGGGGTAAATAAGGTAAAACATGTACCTTTTAGCTTTTGTACCTTATGATACTGCATCTGTGACAGCTTTGTACCTTTTTTCTGAGAGTGTAGTTACAGTTAGAAGCTACTACAGTACTAATACAGGTAATATGGCAGCACTTTAATTTACAGTCCTGTTTCACATGTACATACTATGTACTTATTATAGCAATTACAATACCTCGGTAATAACTAGGTACTAACCTTGAACCTACTCCTAAACCTAACCTTAACCCATGTATTTACCTTATATTACCCAGTACTTTCCGTGGTAAGTACAATATACAGTATGTACATGTATGTGCACGTACTGTTAAAAATAAAGTACAACCGGTAATACTCACAAGATCACTGTTATCTCCAAGTCTGCCTGGGGGTCCAATAGGGCCCTGGTCACCCTGACAACAAAACACAGTCATAACACACTTTTACTAATATTGGTCACACATCGGATATTCTTGTTAACACACAGAAAAATAGGGTTCTAAATCAGATATGTTTCTCATATTTGGTCACTTGATTCTCTTTCTTTAAAGTTCTTAATCAGGTATTTTTCATCAAAACAGTTAAAGTGAGAATAATTGGTGACATCAGCCAAGGAGAAAGTCATTTCAGAGGGGAAGCAGTAACAAGTGTGTCTGTGTCAAATTGCACAAATCTGTTAGTGGTGTTAAAATTAATAACATTAAACATACAGTATATAATTAATCACAACTGTAAATGTGTTACCTTTGAGAGAAAAAAAAACAAAGTTGCATGAAGTCGCATGAGAGGATTTTACCACAGTTTGTACACATAATAACCAAGGACAAATGTAATTTACAACATCTGATTTATGACACATCGCTACTGAAACAAAAACACTCTGTCACTCAAATAGAGTTAACATTTTTCAGAAGAAGTGTAAACAAGGAGGCTTACCGGAAGCCCAGTATCTCCTCTCTTGCCTTTTGGACCTAGAATTGTGTTGTCTATTCCTGGTGCACCCTATTAACGTAAACAGATAATCATATACAGACAAATCAAGTCAGGCTGTTAAGACTGCAAAAAAAAAAAAACAACAACAAAACAAAAAACAGCTACTTAAACACAGAGGAAGACCTACAGGATCTCCTCTCAGTCCGCTGTGTCAACCACTGAACAAATAAAACTTGTATAACCCTAAAATAACATCTGCAGCTTGGAAAAAGCAGATCAAAACCTGCCTAATGAAAACAGTTAACTTAAGTGCAAAAAAATCATTATTCTTAATGAGAATCTGAATGTGTTAGCACCTTTTAAATAAAAAATTTCAAATTTGTTTAACCTGTTGATGTGTAAAGCAAGTTAAAAAAAAAATATTGCAAAAAAATCATATAAAGTCTTAATATCTCACTCAATTTTGCGTCTAATGCAAATCTGAATTGTAACATGTTTATTTTTTTAAACGAGACAAAGATACAAGTTTAAAAAAAACTTTTACATTGTTTATGAGGTGTGAATTGAGGTTGTAAAGAAAACAGGAGGACAAACACTCATTAAAGCACTTTTTAGTGTATGGGTCATTCCACGAAATCGGTGCCTGTTGCGTCCCTAAGAAATAATGAAGCATAGAATTAATATAACAATAAATACATTTGAAATGTATTTATAGTGATTTAAAAAACATAACAATACTATGTATTCTTTCATCAATATTACATCAAATTAAAGTCAATTAAATATTATTTTAAATAATTTAAATAGTATTTATGCTAATAAGTGTAAGGTTTCTGGCTTGCCCCTCACTATGATTTTTCTTTTTCAGTAGGATTTTTAATTGGCAAATATTATATAAAAATCACATTTGCATATTGTTCTAAATGAAGTCTCATTGCTAAGCAATGTTTTTGGCATAAGTATACACTTATTAATACACAGTATTAACACTTTCTATAAAATATAAATCATTTTATTGGTGTCCCGATTTCATGTCAGCCCTGTTCAAAAAAACCCAGAGAACGAATTAGTAAATCGTGCGCACAATTTATAAATCGAGGGAACGAAATAGTAAATCGTGCACACGATTTAGCCTATTATTTTTTTCCTGCATGCCATGTGCGGGGCTCCGTACACTCCTCTATAATGCTCTATTTTTGATGATTTATGAGGCTTGACTGAGGGGGGAATATAATGAAGTCAATACTGGTACCATTTTTAAAATGTAAATTTAAACAATTATTTATTACATTTAATATAATCAATATCTTCAAGTAAAATCCTTTCAAGGTGAACAACATGTGCTTTTGTGAACTTTAACTTCAATCATCAATCATCAAACCTGTTACTGTAAGCCCTGTTACTTTTCAGAGTAAGAGGTTTTGACATGTGGGTAAGAGGGATGACAGATTAGGTGTCACCCTGTTTTTAAAGATTGTCTGTGTAAAATGCAAATATGTTTAAAGGTCACCCTGGGTGTATTATTGAGCTAATGCCTATATCATTCAGTGTGGGTGGCATATGAGCATCAGCTACATTTTTTGTTAGTATTGTAGGTATTGTTACTATTACTAACAGGGTCGGATGATCTGTCTCAATAAAACTTTTTTTTTTCCATTGTCAATAATGCATCCATGTAAATTCATTTACAAACAAGAGCAGCAAGGTGACTGCAGACCCTCACCATCTTGCAACGTTCAAGAAAGTGAAACCAAATTTCAGCATCAAGATCTTGGTCTGGTTTCAGATGATCACAGAAAGACCCAGATCTGATCAGCTTCCTTGCCTAATAATTGAACCAGATTAGTATATTTTAAGTTCTGTGAGGGGACACAGACAAACAAATGGAACGCATTATCTAATTACAATAACCTTAAAACATTAGACATCTTAGAAATGTAATGTGCTAAGTCGACAATGAACTGACTGTAACTGAAAAACTGACTGTTTACTATTGTCATACAACTATGCCAAGTAAGTGCAAAACAATATAATGCAATTTAAAATGGTAAAACTTTACAGTATTATGTAAACAACTATCTGCAGTATGCTGAAGTATGTGTGTACTGTCATCCCTGTTACTCTGGTCAGTCCTGTGACTATGACGCCAATCCTGTTGCTGTCATTAATTTCATAAAAATGTTTAAAAATTATATTTGATACAGCTTTCCAGGTTTTTCCATTGTAACTATATTTTATTTTGGACAAAGCTCTTTTTTTAATATCTCTCTTGTAAAAATATGTTTTTCTTAATTGACGTGGTCACCCTCCAAAATTAGAATGTTCTTGGTCATCTGAATGATAAGAGGGTTGTGAAAAGAGAGACTAAAATGCTGCTCGTATATGTGAGAACTATCACATAGTTCTAATTAAACTATAGTATATAGTAACGCTTGTGTAGGTAACAGGTGTCACGAATCCGATCCATGAATTTCCATCCACTTGCCACCAGAGGTCGCCCTTCCATGATATTGACCCTCGCACCACACAGACTGTTACACATCACCCTGGACTACATTTCCCATGTTCCATTGCACTGATTACACTCACACCTGAAACCAATTACACGCTCACCTGAATGCTATTACACACACTATATAACACCTACCCTGATCCTGCTCTAGTCGCCGAGTATTGTTCTGCATTTTTCACTCCCCAAGTGTTAGCTGCCTTACCAAGCCATTCCGTGTTTTCTGTTTTAGTCTCGTGTATTGTTTCGCGTTTATCCCTGTTTAGCGGATAGCTACCTTACCGAGCCTGTTTAAGTTTTCATCGTTTTCTTAGTCTAGTCTTAGTCTTGCCTTGTCTGTTTTCCTGGTCTCTGATTCACGCCACGTATCTTGGATTAACCCTTTGCTTGCTGTTTCTGACTCTGTTTGCCCCTGCCTGGACCTTTGCCTTCTACCTGGATTTATCTCTTGCCTTGCCTTCGATATACCTGTTTGCCATTGTCTGACCCATGCCTGTTAAAACCACGTCTCTTAATAAAAGCTTGCATATGGATCCGCATGTCTCTCGTCTCATAACAACAGGGTTGACAAAAATACCAAAACATGAGGTATAAAAATAGTCATAAAATAATCAATTGCATAGTCTTAGATACACAATACAATTTCTTGTCATTTTAAAGTGTCTTCATTTCATGGATATTTAAAAATAAATGTTGATTAAACACTTTATTTTTTAATTTTTCCAAGCTGAAAAGGCACCAATTTTGTGGAATGACCCATATATTTCTGTCCGAACAGTAACTGTTTAAGTGGGAGCAATAATAGGGCTAACAGCCAGTAAATAGAATAATAACTCTTGTTACTCACTTTTTTTCCAGTGTAGCCTCTCTGGCCCTATTAAAATAAGATTTAAAATCATTTATTTTATTCAGAACAGCTGTAAAATGATCTCATTTGGTTTAACTGTCTTTATATACAGAAACATTAAACACTGACATAAATATATCCTAGTCATGCAGTTAGTAATAATCATGCAGGTAGCATATACTGTACAGCAGGGGTCCCCAAACTTTTTTTTTTTGTGAGGGCCACATCATTTTTCCTTTCTTTAATGGGGGTTCAGGTCAGTCTGAACAGAAAATTACATGGGCCGGAGGGACTACTAGCATTACTGTGGAGAATTTATTATGATTTTAAATGCATTTATTATGCCTCCAATTTCTAGAATAGTTTATTATTTTGTTATGCACCGTACAGACAAATGATGATTACTTTTCAAGAGATATATAGCCTATTAAAACAGCATTATTACTAGCATAATGACTTTTTTTAGTGCATCTGAAATCAAAACATTTACTTACTTGTGCATTTAAGTAAGTATGCACACTAATTAGTGTGAACTGTGGGCTTGCTTCTGGCTGGTGAGAAGTCCAATGTCAGGTTCCATTCCTGTTACAGCCAGTCTCGAAGACTGATGCAATTGTTCATCAGTGAGTTTTCATAAGTTTCATGCATAAAAAGGTTTGCTCACAGATATACGTGCTGCCAAAAAGTGTGGGACAACTTTATTGCATGCCTTTTGATGTTTGGGTATGTCTCGTTAGGGATGGCAGCACAGAATTCAATGAGACCGAAGGGCTTTAATGAGCCTTTCAGAACATCACAGTTCTGTAACTCAGCCAACTCAAACTGATAAGAAAGCAGGGCTTCATCAATGTCAGCAGCAAAGGGGTTCTGGAAAAGGCCGATTTCTTTAGCGTGGACATGTAGCTCACGGAATCGGACGTCAAACTCCGCCTTCAGCATTTCCAGCGCTTCCACAGACTTTTCAGCTGGGAATGGGGTCACTGGTTTCTCAGCTGAGAGGCTCTGGGTAACGGGGAGATGAGTGAAGTCTTGCTTTTGCACTTGTCCCACAAGCAGTGCTAGTTTCACCTCAAATGCTTTTATGTGGGAATGCATGTGACATATTAGTTTCCCCTTGCCTTGGAGCTGCAAGTTGAGGCCGTTCAACATTTCTGTTAAAAAGGCGAGGTCCCATTTCTATTCTGCGTCGATCGGTTCTTGGACAGTTTTGCCCCTTGTCAGAAGAAAGGCATTGATTGCCTCAAAACTCTGCCCCGGCTTAACCATCGGACTTCAGTGTGGTAAAGCACATCTCTGTGAGCAGACTCTAGCTCGGAGAGAAAGGCTTGGAACTGCTGGTGTTTAAGTCTGATGAAGCTTATACATGACACCACCACCTTCACGACCGATTCCCACTTCAGAACTTTGCAGCAGAGTGCTTGCTGGTGAATCAGGCAGTGGACATGTAATGGGGGGTGAGACCTCTTTCCTCCATTTCTCTATTCATGCATCCTATAAGCCTCCTTGATGTGCCAACCATACTAGGAGCCCCATCAGTAGTAATGCTGACCAGCCTAGACCAGTTTAGACCCAGCTCTTCCATTGTTTGGCACACCAAAAATATCCTCCCCTGTTGTAGTGCCTTTTAGACTTTGTAGGGCTGCCAGCTCCTCGGACACTTCAAAGGTTCAAATTAACTCAGCAAAGAAAAATGTGCAGCTGTGCTGTGTCCTGCACGTCATTGCTCTCATCCAGTGCTAATGCAAAAAATTCGAATTCTTTCTCTTTCTCCTGCAGCTGGGCATACATTATCCCCCATTTCTTCAATTCGTCTGGTGATTGTACATGTGAACAGACTCACCACATTTAAGACATCTTTCTTATTGGGGCACACCTCCTCCGCAACAGCAATCATACATTTCTTGACAAACTCACTGTCACTGAATGGCCTACAGCTGGTTACAATTAGTTTAGGTACCTGAAAGCTATCTCGAACGGATGACTGGTTCAACTGGGTTTGGTGTACAAATGTATTCTTTGAACACAGACACTGTTTCTTAACAGATGAGACAAACAGCCAACAAAAAAACAATCACTTGTCCACTTTTGGTTAAATACCCTGCATTCTGAATCAACCTTTCTCTTTCCCAACCATTTGGCCATTTTGTTATCTCTTTGAATTTTCTACCTGGCTCGTGAATCACCTGTTTTATCGCGATGGTACATTATGTTGAACGTACCATTCTGTTGGTAGGTGAATTTAAAAAAACAATTAGGCTACGTTAATAAATAAGGGAAATTTTAGTTTGAAAGCAAGCCTTTATCATTAAATACAGACATGATATAAGTAAAACACACAGTATATTTAAAATTTAAGTTTTAAAATATGACTCTGGCTGTGGCGAGGGGGGCGTGGTTCAGCGAAGTCTGCAGTGGGAGAGAGGGATGGGAGACGAGCGGTGAGTAAGTAGGTCAAGTGCAAAATGATGAACACCTGTGTCTGATTGCAGTAATTACCTCCAGCGGGTCGGCCGGAACCCCGAACAACACCGTCAGCGGTTCCGGTCCCTGGAGCTGGGGGAACACGGCCGTCCCTTCGTGATGGCTCAGCAGCTCCGGGACGCATGCCGCAAATGGCTGTTGGCCGGGGGAAGCGACGTCGACCAGATCATCGACCGTGTGGTGCTGGAACAGTTTGTCACACGGTTGCCGAAGAACACCGCGCAGTGGGCCCAGTGCGCAGTGGGTCCAGTGCCACCGGCTGGCGTCGCTGGACCTGGCCATTCAACTGGCGGAGGACCAGATGGTGGCATGCCAGGGGGGCGGAACCCTGCCCTCTGTCTATCTCTCTCTCCCCCTCTCTCCTACCTCTAAACCTGTCCCTCTCCCTAGGTCCCGGGGGAATCTCCCACCGCGAGCGCAGCCCCGGTGGAGGGGCGGTCCGGCGCCGGAGTACTCGAGTTTGCAGACGTGTTCTCACCCCGGCCCGGTCGAATGAATCTCATCCAGCACCATATTGAGACGGAGCCGGGCGTGGTGGTACGCAGCTGGCCGTATCGGTTGCCGGCACACGAGGCAGTTCCTGGGGCTGGCAGGATATTATAGGAGGTTTATCCCTAATTATTCGGTCCTTACCAGCCCGCTGACTGACCTCACTAAAAAGTAAGTGCCAGACCCGGTCCAGTGGACGGAGCTGTGTCAGCAGGCTTTCACCCAGGTAAAGGCTGCTCTGTGTGGGGGGACGCTCTTAAACTCTCCTGAATTTTCTATACCGCAAAATGATGAACACCTGTGTCTGATTGCAGTAATTAGCCTGGAGAGACCGGATAAGAGGCAGACTGGAGAACGTGGTTGAGAGAGAGAGACTGGGACTCGTGGCCATCCCTTAGCCGGAGGAGGAGAACCGACTGGACTGAGTTTATGCCCTGGGCAGATTGAGAACGCGCTGGAAGCGCCCCGTTTGTGTTTTGTTGAACTTTAAGTAAAGAAATAAAAGAGCCACGAGTCTCCAAACCGCCTACCTGAGTCACTTCCTTCTTCCCACTACGAACTTTGTTACACTGGCATTTTCCAGAGGGCCGGTCCAAATGTGGGGGTGGGCCGCATTCGGGCCATAGTTTGGGGACCCCTGATATACAGTATCTATCCCTAAAAAAATTACTTCAGTCACAGTTAATGTATGAATGTGTTTGAACCGTTGTTTGATTTGTTGATTAATCTTATTTTAAATGATAACTTCTTGAAAGTAAAAACAGAAAAAGTACCAGCTTAAAGTTCTATTTACAAGTGGTGTATGCAGCACTATCTTGCCATACTAAGATAAATCCAGAAATTCCAAGCAGAACATTGCACTGATACAAACAACATCAAGAGATGCATCTCCAATGATAATCGAATGTTACATTACCTTGATTCCTCTGTTTCCAGGGCAACCTTTATGTCCCGTAGTTCCATTCAGCCCTGGTGATCCTTGCTCTCCCTGTCAGAAACAAGATGGGAGATAGATTATTTATCCTTGGTATATACGGCATACATCCTCTATAAAACATGTGTATCCTGTCTTATCCGGAATCAGTGTTATTTACATTCAGCATGCACGCACTGAATGTAAACAACGCTGATTATGTTCAGCGAAAGCACGCGCATGCTCAACGTAAACAACGCTGATAACGTTCTGAGGTATTCTCCAAAATGGCGGAAGACGGTAACTCGGGAGAATAATTGTTGAGTAAATTATGTTATTATTGTTTTCTTTGCGTACAAAAAGTATTCTCGTAATTTCGTAAAATTACGGTTGAACCACTGATGTCACATGGACTATTTTACCGATGTCCTTGCTACGTTTCTGGATCTGGGAACATTGCGGTTGCATTGCTGTCTATGGAGGGCTCTCAGATTTTATCAAAAATATCTTAATTTGTGTTCTGAAGATGAACGAAGGTCTTACGGGTTTGGAACGGCATGAGGGTGAGTAATGACAGAATTTTCATTGTTTGGTGAACTAACCCTTTAAGTACATGTAAGCTGACAGTTTCACTTACCATACTACCTTCATCTCCTGGAAATCCAGGATGGCCGTTCTGACCAGTAAGGCCCTGAATAAAAGAAAAACAGGGATGCTGACACATAAAACCTGAATTTCTTTAAGGCATCATAGCCATGTTCCTGATGTGAAGGCCATTCAAAAATCATACTGCCTTTTAAGATACCTCATTTTAGTTCAATTCTAAAGTAGCAATGCATTTATCATTGGCATAATGACAAAATGTGTCAAGCTTAGTGAGAAAAAAAATCCATCCAAGAGAAACAAAGCGAGAAAGAATAGTAAATCCACAATATTTATTTTATATTCTCTTGAGGGGCTTTGACCTTTTGCCCTGCACTTTCAGGGGGTCCTCGTGGTCCAGGAACACCGGTGCATGAACAATGTACATCACAGCATTTCCTCAGTGCCACTGTTTCCTGAGGGGAGAGAAAGGCGCACAATGAGTGAAACGGTTTGTTTTGTGTTGCTGAAGTCACAGGCCATGCATCCAGTCGAATTGTTGGGTATTTTACTACAAATGTATCTGTCACTTGGTAGTATCTTGAAAAATTAAACAGGTGACATTCCTGAAAACTATAAACACATCAACAAAAGTCACAATCCAGACTACTTTAAATATTTGTCCAGTTGCAGTGGTTTGTGTCGACCAAAATATGTTTTGTGATTTATAATCTGCAAAGAGCATCTGGAAATCAAAGATGTTCATAATATTAATGTTAATAAACATCAATATTTGATGAATGTGCGATAAACAATTTTGTGTGCAATTTAAATGTGGCTTAAAGAACACAAGAAAAATTATTTATTTATTTAATGAGAAAATAAATAATAAAGCTTACAACACTATTTTATCACGGGAAATGGCAATGAAAAGCACAAAATAAAATGTTAGTTTCAATACAAGATTTCTTTCAGAACAGCTGCTGTTGAACTGTTGTATCTGTTGTGCAATTTGTGCAGATGGTGTAAAAAAAAAAACCTGCAAACTGCAGCTTTTGAGTAAACAGCACCTTTAAGCATTGTTTTGATACTTACAACCTGTTTCATAAGATCGTTGCCTAAATTTAGCATGTTGACGGTCAGTGGCTGCATGTAGCCAAAACCCCTGCCAAATTCCAGCTGGTGAACGTCCATTATTCCCTCCAAAGACACAATCAACAGTGCGCTGACTCCTAGTTTACACATTAGACATAAGCACACATGGGTTTAATACAGAGTAACTATAAAGGAAATAAATCAGGGTCACAGTCTTTGACTTTTTGTGGAAGAAAAGTCCACAAAAAAGGCAGGGAAAACATGGCACAGGCACACATGGGAGCTACTTATACAAGACTATAAAGATAATAAAGATAAAACCTAGTGTTTCCAAATCAAACAAAACAAGTCGGTTTCACTTTATTTTGATGGTCCCTTTAACACATTCTGTTGCCTAAAAGTAACGTTGCACCAACATGTCTACTAACTCTCAGAGTGTTAGTAGAGTATTAGCAGACAGGTAGGGTTAGGGTTAGAATTTTAGAAAGTTGACGTATTTGCAAAAGTTACCTATAGTCAGTAGAATGTCTTTTGGGAGACCATCACAATAAAGAGTTGGCAGATATTAAGCAGACAGTCTACTAATATGACAGTTAGTAGACATGTAGGTGCAAAATTACTTATAGTCAACAGAATGTTCAAAAGGTACCATCAAAATAAAGTGTTACCAACAAGCCAATATGCAGTTGTATCCTTTTACAAAATGTATTAAAGTTCTGTACACACACACACATGGAATCTCTCTAGTGTAGGTTTGGGTGGACCAATCTTGAAATACTTTGCAATTACTCCGATTTTTATGGTTCAGCGATAAATGTCATCGGAGGTAGGAAATTCAGAGCTCCATGTTGGCTTTTTCAAATGGAATGTTAACATAAGTCATAGTTCCTTCTCAGGAACTCCATACGCCTTGCTCAACCCCAAGTTGAGAATTCAAGATGGCTGCTCCCTACATGAAATGTAAGTGAAAGCTATAGATAGCCTACTATAATATTTAGAAAGCTTCTGTTATATTCCAGTGTCTTATACACTCATTACATATCTGTGAACATGTTGCTATGGTGTATGTGAGTGTCTGCGGTTACAAAATGTGGTGTAATGCTCAGTTTTTGCTAACACTGCTAATGCTAACAGTGAGTGAACTACATTACATTCTTTCTGACTTCTCTGCTGGAACATGGTCCACTTGGGTGTGACGTCATTCCCACGTAAATTAAACGCAGCAAATGTGTGGACTGTGAAAACGGAAGTATCCGAAAACAATGACGCATGTCAAGCCATGTGATATTGTAGCCATAGATATCTATGGTTAGGTATGCACCGATACCACGCTCCTATACTCATACTCATAAAAATGCTCCAATACCAAATGCCAATACGGCGTGTGAACAGTGCTGTTCAGCACAGTGCTGTTCCTGTGTCCAGACAAAGAAACCCCAACAACCAAACAACAGAGAGCAGAATGGAGTTATTAGAGATTAAGGCTGTCTATGAAGTACATGTATGTAATTAATATAATGTTAAACATTCAATATTCACACCTGTATAGCTGACGTGCGCAAGCTGAGAAGTAAAACATGCTGAGTGGATTGAGTGCGCGGCAGCACAGATGTGTGAACTTGTTGAGTGAATATTCCTTTCAGACACATCACTTCAAAAGTTTGTACTTCGGTCGGATATGTCAAAAGCAAGTAAGTTAAACAATGCACAAGTTACTAAAGTTACTTGACGGTAAGGAGAGAGAGCGAGTGAGTGCGCACACTTCTGTTGCATGATCTTGATTGCTGTTCACTCACTTAGCTCACACGTCATTTGGATTAAAACTAAATCATAAATATAGAACAAACTAAAATTATAGAGGCAATCATTATAAACAACATTTATTTTAAACGTCAAGCATACACAACTTTATTTAAAACGAAAGTAAAGCTAGCAGCCTGTGTGAAATAGCTAGACTATATTGTACATTTCTCTCTCATTCCGCACCAATACAAATATGTGCGCACGTTGTGCGTGTTTTGCTTGCTTGACGTTAATTTAATTATATGAGTGGCTTTGGAATAAAAAAATAAAATAAAAAATGAGACTTAAATTTCAGAAAATATTTTGATTGCTGTTACAAGATTTATGTATAACGAGTGGATCTCTGCATTATTACAGGAAAATATCTTGTGAATACAGTACTGAGCCGCTGCAATGGAACTAAAGATGAAATACGAGAGAGCAATAAAAATGAACAGTGAAAGTAACAAAAGCTTGTACAATACATTTTAATGGAATTAATTAAGTGTGAAAATAACTGAAGGAAATATCTATTTGCCAAATGAACTGAGCCAGCTAACATTATTTATATTCTTTTGGTTTCTGTACCCAGTATTTTTTTAAATTACAAATGTAATTAAAATACAGGTATCAGTACTCATTATCGGCAAGTACCAAAAATAAAAGTATCAGTATCTGCCTCGTTCTGGAAAAAGTGGTATCGGTGCATCCCTATCTATGGCTGTACCAGTATTGTTGTGCCTGCTATTCATTTTCACAGTGCTGTTAAAGATAAATATTACTTTGTACTTAATATCACATTACTCTTAATATTACATTCCTGCAAATATGACAGGAAATTTACACCCAATGGCTGTTCTGCGGCAAAACACAACTATTGCGCATTTGAATATATGGAATAGCATTTTTGAGTGTGACCTGAGTGCCCCAGCATAGTGGTGGGATATTTTGCTAATAAAGTTTTAACTTTATTATGTCTAATCTCTCGGTATACCTCAGAGAGCTTACATTTTACACATATGCAGTAAGGTGATTTAAGCGTTTTCAGACATTTCAATGTGAGCAAACAACTTTTTGAAACCTCTTGAAAACACTAGAGTGGACAAAACGAAAACACCGTTTTTCAAATATATCCAGATTAATGTGGACGTAGCCAAAGACATCACTTACCACTTTCCTTAAGTCTCCCTGAACTCGCCATTAAACGCTGGATGTTATCATCTAGCCCATCTGTGAAGATTATCAAAACCTAGACACAAACATATGATTAAATGCCAGGGAATTGTGAATACTGTTTTCTGAGTACCATGAAAAAAAAAGTACACTACTGAGCTGAATCTGATTTCCCAATCATGTTTGCCTGGCCACTTCCATCTGTCGTCATTTACAGCCTGTTGTAAATCCTGCTGCATAATAGGAAATTAGCATTTTAAAAATTCCTATTTTTCCCAATAGTGCTCTTACTGATGCAATTTCATCTTAAAGCATCATGTTGGGTAAAATATCATGGCAAACAGGCAAGTGTATAGTATTTAATTGTTTGCGAAAATGATAGTTCAACATTTCTTATGAAAGCGTGTCAGTAAAACCTCATAAAATCATTAAAAATGATGCAAAATCGTTTGAAAATAACATCAGCAGAGGTGCTCGTTTAATTAAGGGAACATTAACATAAAGAATATAATATATAGTTGTCAATCATGTTGATGGTTCATTTTCTATCTCAAAAACATTCCAACCTTTACCTTAACACTGGAGGAGGCAAACATTTCTCTGAAGGATTCTAACAGGAACTCGTTGAAAGCCAGGGGCGCCGTAGGTCGCAATAACATCACTTTCTTGACCACATCCTCCTTGTACTCCTCAAATCCAAAATTTTCCAGAACACTCCCATCTCGTCCAGACACAAGCCTATAGCCAAATCTAGTTGTAATATTTTCCTTTTCAATGCAGCATAGATCACCGATCATAGAGATACGGTGAATGGCTGCAGTAACCAACGGTTCCACCTGAGGTGTCAACAGAGTTTCCGTGATTGTTCGTCTGGACACGTCAAACCCAAAGGCAATGTCAATATCGCAACCTGTTTTAACAAAACAATGGATCGCAATCTTCAAGAAAGGGTATAGACAAAATATTATAGATTTATGAAAGGATATTCCAGACTACTTTCAAAGGGAATTGCAAGTTTTATTTTCAATTGTGTTTTCCATATGCGAACACATTAATTGTGACATAATTTAAATGCAATTGTAAACGCAGAGTAAAAGTAGCAGCATTTTCTGTATGGTCACATGCATCAATCGGAGTGTCAACAGTGAGAGATCTTGAAACAGATGAAAGTATTTGGTTAATGGTGAATATTGACATACAGTATTGTGCGTACTGTTGTTGCTCCTGCTGTTAGCAGGGGATAATCGCTGCATTTGGGGTAAAAACAATGGAATTGTTTAAGGTGTTAAAGAATAAAAGGAGACCAGGGTTGCACTGTCTGTTCATTCACATGCATCTATCAGACTAGCAGCTGCCTTTAGCAATGCCTTATTCCATTGTTTTAAGCATTCGGCACAATCATCTGTGAGTGACGTAACTTCCCAATACACACACGCCACATAGTATAGTCCCACCCCTGGCACTGACTTACAGGTTTCCGTGTAAGGGATCGGAAATTCAAATGCTAAAGGAATTGCAATTCCATCTGAGTTTTGGCAGGTTACATGCGTGACGCAGTGTGAAAAAGCAGATGCAAGCCCGGTTCTACAGGGGTGCTAGAGGGTGCCAACAAGCACCCTCAAACAAAATCAATAGCACCCTCAGTTAAAGCTGTAATAATGGCATTTCATTGTAGATTTGGCAAACTATCCAGTATGGTATGGTTTGCGCTCTGGAGATTGGTTTCTATTTTAATGTTTTGCAGTGTTGAGCAATAGCCAATCTGGTGATTTCTTGTGTGCAACAGTCAATCAGAGGCATTTAAGAATCCACTCACCACTCAAATCTGAGTTTTTGCAGGTGTTGTGTTCAGTACGAATCATCTCATTATAACAAACTGTAGGCACAGTGTAAATAAGAGATTCATTGTGCAGCGTAGAGACCTTCATTGATTATAATGTAACTTTGTGAGATCGCGATGAACTAAGATGAGTGACAGCGTTTTAGTGATTATAAACAGAGTGCTCTTTGCACAATAGCAATAGACGGCACTAAAACCTTTATATAACCTATATTAAGGTTAAAGCATACTTACTAATTTAAGAAGCACCCTTAGCAATTTGATTCTGGAGCCGGGCCTGAGCAGACATGGTAATTAATATTGCTAATTATTGCTATGACAGGCTCATAACTGGCAAGACATGGGAAATACAGTTGCAAATGGACTTTGCTTTTCCATTTGATATTTGGCAGTCACTGTGTGTTCACGAAAGTGAAAACGCAAATGGTAATGCAAGATTTGCAATTCCTTTTGAAAATAGTCCAGAATATCCTTCCCATATACATAATTATCATAAATGCAAATGCATACATATTATACTCTATATGTACACTCCTCAGTATATTACCATGTTAGATTTTTTTTTTTTTTTAACAAGTAAGGGATTCTTCAAGTCACTTAATCTTCTACTATCTACAGGTGATTAAAAAAAGAGATTAATCTAATGGATATTAATATTGTGTCTTTTTAGGGCATAGAAATCAACTAAAATGAATTTCAAAATTGTGAAAATTGTCATTGTACATTTTGATGGATTGATTTTAATCAACTAGCAGGCATCAGACCTCTCCTCACCTGCTTTTTTAATAGTTGTTTTTAAACAACAATAATTGGAAGAGCCTTTCTAAAAATATAAAGAAAAAGACAAATGCTAAAATAAAATGCGTAATGCGTAAATTAAATGATGGCTTTAGTCAAATAAATAGTTAAAATCGGTTAATTAGTTAATATCTACATCCCTAGTGAAAATCAAAGACAGGATCGAAGATGTTCACATGTGCATGGTCATATGTTCAATGCATTTAACTGAGGTCAGAAATTTGTGGAAGTTTAGAACAAATCTTACTGGACTTGGGTCTTTGAGCTCTGAAAGTTATAGTATATTTTGTCAAAAAATGTTACTTTCATTTAAACATTAAATAAAATTTTAATTAAATGATTTCCCATCAAATTTACTTACTTACATCTCCCTATTAACTATTGCTCTGTTCCAAAACCTGTTGAGCTTCCTCATCAGGCAACAGGTCACAAGATATATAATAAATAGTCATTTGGAGGCAGGCGGCAGATTATCAGGTTTAACAGAGCTTGCATTTAGAATATTTGGTATATAAAATAACGAAATTATGAATTATGAATACTATAATAAAACAGTTACTTACCATATGGGGGTGATGGTTCTGGTCTTGTGACTGTACAGAGTAAATGTAACACTTTCCTTATGGTAGTATTCAGTTTAAGGCCTTCAAAAGTCTCAATAAGGACCCGCTCAGGTGATCCAGCTATTTCACGCAGCTCAGATTTCTTTATATCATTGCCAACCCCAATAACAGTTATTAATATGTTCTTGTTTTTGAGATAACTTAATGCATTCAAGTCCTTTGCATCATTAGCATATCCATCTGTGATCAGCAGGAGATTCTGAGCGACTCCATCATCTATTCTGGATCCATTCTCTTTTGTGAAATAGTATCTAATATTTCTCAGGGCGTCCCAAGTACTTGTGCCCTGCTTTTGTTGTACAATGTAATTTATAGCTTTCTCCACTTCTGTAAAACTAGTGTAGTTGTTCAGGTAAAACTCCTTCTGGAATTCACGGCTGAACTGGGCAACACCCACTCGCCATTTGTCTTGAGCAATATCCAGCTCTTTCACAATGCCAATCATGGTTTTTTTGAGAGTATTCCAACTTGCATCCATAATAGTCTCTGATCCATCAATTAAAAAAACAATGTCTGATACCTCCATCTCACAAACTAGAAAGAGAAAAAACATTACGACTACATTAATGGACAGTTCTGGAAAGCAACATTAAAACTATAAATTGGCTGGCCACAACCTTCTCATTACTTAGGGACTATTTACAATTGGTCACTTCAGATCACGCATTTGTACCGATAGTTACAGATAGTTCAGTAGGTGGTCTAAGACACATACAAGATGCCACCTAACCACATAAGCAATCAACATATGGGCAAACAATCATGGATGAAGCAACCATGAGACACGAACACTAAGCATGATATGGGGACAAAGAGTTTTGAAATTAATTATATTGCCATATATCATGAAGCGTTGATCTGTATTTATGTGAAGTATAATTGGACATCAATCTGATCAATCAAGATGCATGAAGTGACTAAGCAGAAACAGGCTCTTAAAGTCAACTTACTCTATTGAAAAAGTAGTTACTTTCTGACAAAATGCAGTGGTCAACATATTTTTAAATATATCGAATGATATTATTTAATCAGAAGATACATTCACATTGAACTTTTAAGTTCATTTCCAGAAAAATGTATGTCTGGTTTCACAGACAGGGCTTAGATTAAGCCAGGATTAGGCCATTGTTCAATTAGGACATTTAAGTAGATTGTATAAACGTGCCTTAGATAAAAAAAACTCTACTGATGTGCATCTTGAGACAAAACAATGGAACTGACATATTTCAAGATCAGTCAGAGCAAGTTTCTTTCAGTTAAAACAGCCGGACATGCATTTTTGTCTGGGACTAGGCTTAAGTCTGTGAAACTGGGGGAAGTGTTTTGTGATAAGAATTAGATTTACTTGGTTTGGTAAGATTGCAGAGCTCTTGGGTGATCCGTTTTTGTAGTCCACGCAGATCCTGGTAGGTGTTTGCATAGTGCACTCTTCCTTTATTTTCCACCATCTCCTTTAGCTGTTGTTCATCGGCATCTTCGGTACCAATAGCAAAAAAGTTGACCTCTGAATTTGTCAGTGATTCAGGCCATGTTGCCAGACCACTTAAGTCATTAACCTTGCCGTCTGTTATCAGGAATAGCACTTGGGGAACATTCTTTGCTCGTCGTCCACCATGTGTATCACCAAAGTAGGAGAGTGCATAGTTCAGGGCTTGGGCTGTGTTTCTGGTTCCTCCTGAAGCTTTGAGGTTTGAGATAACCCTCAGAATATCAGTTTGACTGTAGTACTTATTTAGTGTGAACTCTGAACGAGGGTTATTAGAGTAGGTGACGGCGCCAAATCGTACCCGTTTTTCTCCAACCACAGATTTGCTTACCGTATATTTCATTAAGTTTATCATTTCCTGAAAACCATCTTTACTGGGACTTCCAGAGGTGTCAACAAGGAAGATTATGTCAATCAGTTCGGGTCTCTTGCATTCTGGAAAGATACATGATCATTATGTAAGAAGACATTTGACAAATGCACCTTTGCTTTTATTTGAAGTGGTTATTACTATAATACAAATGAAAGCTGACAAGCATTTAGCAGACATACATAGGACAGGGCTATTCAATTGGTGGCCCACCAATCATCTTCATCTGGCCCGGGGGAAGAGTACGCACGCCTCAAATTGTTTTTGCACTAATTAGTTTGTCCACAAGCTGGCCAAACTGGCCCCGGCCATTGTTTCACAGCCGAAAAAGAAAAGGAAAACACTCAACAACAATAATCTACCGGAGACTGCAATATCAATTGACGGCAGCGTTGACAAGCGCTCATGTGAGGGGGGTTAAGAGATATCTGCAACTTTTTAAAATGAGTATAAAGACTGTGTTATCTGTCATAACTTCTGGTGAGATATAGCACAGACTGGACAAAGATGATTATCAAAAGGAATATAGTTTGAAATGCAGCACGTTCAGCTGTCCGCATATGCTGAGCCACTTCACCCAGCAAACACAGAACGTTCCCCTAACGTTAGTTTTTGGTTCCCGTTTGGTTATTTTTTTGAGGGGGTGAACCGAATACTAACGTTAGGGGAACGTTCTTTTTAGTTTTTTTGTAACCATAAAATAACGTTCCCAGAACGTTGCATGGTGGTTATTATTAAATAACCTAAAAATAACTTACAGAGAACATTCCCTAATGGTTAGTTTTAGGCTATTTTTGCAACCATAAAATAACGTTCCTAGAACGTTGCAGGGTGGTTATTTTCAAAATAACCTGAAAATAACTTATACAGAATATATTATAATTATAATATTATATATTATAATTATAACCCTGTAAAACTATCTTTCCAATTAAAACGTTGCAGATGTTTTTTGTGTAATGACCTATACAGAGCACTGAAATTCGTTTAATGCAGCATTTATTAAAATACAGAAATTAGATCAATCAAAACACATTTTAAATTATAATATTAAGTCAGGGTTAAGCATAGAGTGATAACAGAAATCATAACTTCGTGGGTTTGTTTCATCTTCATTTACTGGGCACCTCTGATTCGCATGTGCTGCTCCAGCACTAGGGATGGGCATATTGATCCTGAAGTATCGATATATCGCTACTGACGTGAGTATCGAAAGTATCGATACTCAAACAAAAATATCGATACTAAGGTGTATTTTATTTACCAGTGATTTTGTTTATTTAACAATAAATTAATGCGTACAATATGCATCGAATTGGACAAATAAGTTATGTTAGCGAATAATTGTGTAGGATAGGCCTATTTTCCTGCTCATCTGAACACACGCAGATGTTGCAAGACAGAATCAATGTCAATGTCAATCAATCACGGAGAGCGTTTACTCACTTCTGACAGTGCATTCAAACAGAGCTGCGTTTCCCAAAATTATCATAAGAAAGCTGCTGCTTTTGGGAATGGCAGCCCAGAACAATGCTTATCAGAGGACAGAAAAAACGTATATGTTTGAGTTATTTCACAATAAAAAAAATTAAATTGTAGCCTACATAGTTTGTGCAATTAAATTTATTTAAATTGAACATTGAAAGATAATGTTGATCATGTTCTATTCTGTAATGTTAATATAAGTCATATACTGTCAGAATAAAAAGGTTGCATTTTATGCATGCAACAGCCTGTCAATGGCAGTCCCTTATGAAAATGAACCATGGTTTTACTAAAGTGACCAACTACTTGATAGTTCAACTATAGTATTTGTAGTTCCCCTTCTAGGGAACTCAACGCTGCGTCCTGGTGGACACTTTGGGGAACGCTGTCTGCGTGACCGGTACCTGAAGCATGCATAAAACAACTCCAATCCTATTGGTCCACGTGGCCCGTGACGTCATAGGTGGGTACCCGAAAGTATAAAAGGGGCACCTGCTGAATACGTCACCAACTTTTGTTGTCTTTGGAGCCGTCTGTCTGTTGAACGTGTGTGAAACATCATCCTGGTGAGTAGAGCAGCGCTTTGAGGAATATGTGCCTCCGTGTTGGGATTCTAACACTTGAGGACATATTTTAACCTTTTCGTCTTTGTCTCGGCGACCACGCACTCTTTGTGATGAAACACTTTAATGCACTCGGCTTGCGTTTGTTCCTATTCCCAAGGGATGCAGGGCAAAGCGTTCGCGTCTCGGCCCGTTGCCACGGCTCTGTTTATCTCACCTTGCAGCGATTGCTTTGATCTGCAATGTCCGCATACCCTCGACTATCAGGTTGCCTAAAGCCGTGGATATTGCTCGTGTTGCTATAACGATAAAGTGTGAGCACCAAGTCGTTTTTAGCTCAGGGCGTGCAAGATCGCGGGCAGAGCTATATTCAGCTCAGCCGTGCCTCTCTAATATGCATGTTATTGTGTGTGGAGAGCCTCGCTGGGCATGGTTGTACTGAATGCTCTGTGGAATGAAGCTGTTAGCTTTCTCTCCCAGGGTGCTTCAGTAGTCTAGAGTGGTTACGGGGAATGTTCCTTCATGTGTTTAGCCGGGTGTGTGGAACTTCCATACCGTGGGCTATAAACATACGAGAACCGCTTAGGTCTCAATATGGAACCCAGCCTTCCACGGTTCCCGCGGATTCATTGTGAAGGCCCGGCGCTGGACGTTCCGCCGCATCCGCTGCCGACACATGAAAGTACGCGTCCTTCAGGTCGATCTCTGCAAACCAATCTCAGGGACGGACGCACCCGAAGATGCATTTCTGCATCAACATCTTGAACGGTAGCCGATGAAGGGCCCGGTTCAAAACTCGCAGATCCAAGATTGGCCGTAACCCACCGCCTTTCTTGGGTACAATGAAGTAAGGGCTGTAAAACCCCAACCTCATATCGGCTGGAGGGACCGGCTCTATCGCATCCTTCGCCAGTAGGACTGCGATCTCTGCCCGTAGAACAGGGGCATCGGCCGCCTTCACTGTAGTGAAGCGGATACCGCTGAACTTGGGCGGGCGCCGGGCGAACTGAATCGCATAGCCTCTTTGAAGGGTGTAGTGGGAACCTTGGGTATGTTGGGTATGTGGGGCCTCAGGATTACCTGGTAGTCAGCCGGCCCAAACTCTAGGCACGAATCGTCGACCGCGTCGACCGACAGGTCCCCTACCCTCTTGATGGAGGCCAGTGCAAGCAGGAGCAGAGTTTTCAATGAAAGAAACTTTAGCTCAACTAAATGCAAAGGCTCGAATGGGCCCTGCTGTAGTGATTTTAGCACTAGAGACAGGTCCCAAGAGGGTATAGAGGGGGGCCGGGAAGGAA